TTCATTTTTACCCTCATGTTTGATATATTAAGAATGGGATATTTTATGTTATTAACAACAACTGTCTCACTGATTTCTGTGCTGAGTTCAAGATGAAGCCCCAAGCAGTTACATAAGAATACTCACCAGAATTTGTATGCTACATTGACCCATAGAGTGACCTTATTAATATAATTAAGGTTGATATGTAGACATTAAAATGAGATGTAAGAGTACAAATGATTTTAGATTAAGCAAATGACACTGTCCAAATGACTATTGCTAAATTCAGTGTTGTCCTTCCCTGTATTTTTCAAGCCAGCTACATGGCAAACAATACAGCAAAGATTAAATAAAACTATGTTACAATTAACGAATTATGTATTATTTAAAAGTCTAATGAAATCTGAGGATTTGCTGGATGTAAATTATCTGTACTTCTAAAATGATAAATTATTTTTATAATGTAATTTCTTGCTTTTCCCCAAATTGAAGTAGATGTGCAAACTCAAAAGTTGTCAGAACTTTCTGGAGAACTTAGAGATGAAACAAGTTACAGGAGAAATAGAATTTGCCATCGAGGGTAAATGAACATAATGGAGAAGATGGAGAACAAGCAGGCAAGGTCCTGAAACCTAATATCTGCTTTATTTCTTAGTCTTTACTTTCTAAATACTTAAAATGACTCTATCACTGGAAACATTTTAAGGCTGAAACTTTTGACAGAAAACCTGATAGCAAATGCTAAAACTGGTCAAATGGAAGTGAGAATTAAAAACTTTTAGAAATAATGTCTGGTTATTGGTGCTTTTTGACAGAACACATGCATCTACAAAACAATTTTCTTTTACCCTGAACTTCTATTTCCAGTCTCCAAAGTTATTTCTCCCTCACATACCTATTTGGTAGCAGATTCTAAACAACAGGTTTGAACCTGTTTCTTCCTTTTTGAGGGGCATGCACCATTGATTTAAAGGATCTCTCTCTCTCTCTCTCTCTCTCTCTCTCTCTCTCTCTCTCTCTCTCCCTACCCACACTTTGTCTCCCTTTCTTTGTCTTTCTTTTTTTTTTTTAATTTGGCTTCAAGATCTTTCATAATCCATTGAACAGGTTATAAATTAAGAATGATGCATCCCCATAGCCAGTGTTATTACATGGAATAAATTGTGTCCCCCAAATTTACCCACAAATATTACTGTATTTGGAGATAAAGTCTTTGTGGAAGAAGATGATTAAATGAGATCATAAGGGTAACAACTGATCAACTGATCTTGGGACTGATGCACAAAAAATAAGAGGAAGAAAAGGAAGAGAATCCAGTAAGCTCTCTTTCTCTTTAGATGCAAGTACAGAAGGAAAGTCATATGAAATACAATGAGAAGATGGCCATCTGCAAACTAGAAAGAAAGCCCTGTCTAGAAACCAAATTTGCTAGTAATATGATCGTGGCAATTCTAGCTCTAGAAAGTAAGTTTCTGTTGTCTAAGTCTTCCATTCGATGGTATCTCATTGTCAGTTAAAACAGATTAATACAGATTTTGTTACCTATAAATGAGGTGCTGTTTTAACAAAGCCTAAAAATGTGGAGGTGGCCTTGAAAATGAGTAATGAGCAGAAGCTAGAAACATTTTGAGATACATGCCAGAAATAAAGGGACTATGGTACCATGGAACTATGGAACTATGGGACTATGCGATTATGGGACTATGCCTTAAGGGACTATGGGTAGAAAAATAATGTTAAAGGTACCTCTGGAAAATTCTCAGATGCAAAAGGTGAACATATTACTGGAGATATGTTAAGTAAGTAAAAATGAAAACAAATTGAACAGAATTCTGCTCTAGCATTTGGGGGAAGATAAGAGTTTTTGAATAACAACCTTGGCTATTTAGACAAGATTATTAAGTAAGAGTACTACTTGGGTTGTCCCTATTGCTATGATAAAATGTGATAGAAGGAGGTAAAATTAAAGAAATCATTAAGTAAAAATTTGAAAAGAGATTTCCAGGCAGACATTGTACAGCTGAGATATAACCCTGGCCTCCTTCATATGCAATATAACACCTATTGTTAAATTCCTACCACCTTGTTTTGAAATTTTATATTGCTGCTGGGTGTGTGTGTGTGTGTGTGTGTGTGTGTGTGTGTGTGTGTGTGATCATTTTGCTTTTGCTGTTGTTTAATGGATTGCTTGCTTCTTGATTTTTTCTTTAAAATAAAAAAGAAAAGAGGTTATGAGAATTTTGAAAAGTCTTAAACCATCTGTATTGTAAAAACTCAGAAAAACTATTCTATGGGGATACCAAGAGTTTGGGTGGAAAGTTACTTCACAGAGAGATTACCCTTGATTTTAAATGAGCACCTCTATAAAGGTCAGGACTAGAGATTGAATTACACCAGCAAGGGCATTATCATTTGGACCAAATGGAACACATGGCATAAAATCTTTTAAAAGTAGATTAACTGAATTCTTGGGCTTTTATATTGGAAAAAATAAGGATATCTGATTATAAGTATGCCTTATCCTTCAAGAAAAAAATAAAGCTGACCCTAAATACGATTCAGAGTTGACTAAGTTCTAAAAGAGAGACCTTTCACACAGTTTCGGGGTAACAGACAATTAATTCAGCTTTCAAGTACCAGGCTTCTCCAGCCCAGCACCTATGGAGCAAAGATATCAAGAAATGCTCAATGGATTAAGTCATTGCCTAGCACTCTGAAAACCAAGTCACTATCTTAGTGGGCCTGAAGGACAGTGTGACTAGAAAAGGAAGTTTATCGTCAAGCCTTAAACTATAGTAGAATTAACCATGCAAGTTTTTGAAATTCATTTGGACCCATCACGCCTTTTTTCTTATTTCTCCCTTTGGGGATAGCGAGGTATATTTTATGCCCGTGTTACTCTTGTATTATATAAGCACAAACTTTGTCTGTTTTCACAGGTTCAGAGCTGGAGATTTTTTTCCCTTGGGATGAGCTGTATCTTGACTCTCACCCATACATGATTTAGGAATTTAAACTGATGCTGGGATGAGACCTTTTAGAGTTGTCATCATGGGGTGAATGAATTTTACTTGAGATAAAAAACACGTCTTTGGGAGCTAGATATAGTAATTAGTGCAGGCTGATCTATGTCCCTCCAAATTTGTAAGTTGAAGAGGTCACCTATAATGCAACTGTATTGGGAGACAGATACTTCACAGGGAGGATTGAAGTTAAATGAAGATATGAGAACAAGACCTCAAGACATACTTTGAGGCTTTTATAAGAAGAAGGGATGCCAGAGATTTTCCTCTCTGCATATGCTTTCAGGAATGGAGGTATGAGAAGACAAGAGAGAGAAGGCTGTTGTCTACAAGTCAGGCAGAGAATCCTTAATAGAATTTTGTTTTTAGCAATTTGATCACATATTATGTATCTTAAAATAAATGTTTTTATTTTATATTTTTGGGTGATGGAAATCTGAAGGCCATATTTCAGTGGAGTGTTTAGTTCAAGTCTCTGTAGCTTCTGCTAGTTGCTGACAGTCTCAGGTATCTGTTGACTGGTGGGTTCATACCACTCTGTGCTTCCACGATCACTTGGTATTCCACCAATATGTCTCCATACTCACATTTTCTTCTTCTTAGAAGAAAATTCGCCTTAATCCCATAAAACCTTATAACAACTTGATCACATCTACCCAAATTCTATTTCCAAACAAGGTCATATTAATAGGTAACATAGCACAGGCCTTAAACATACTGTTCATGTGTGCAAAAGGGCACAGTTCAATCCTTAATAATGCACTATGAAAAATTGAAAATAGTTAAGCAGTAAATGAAAAATATCTATTATTGTTGCAATGCATTTGCAAAAAAATATTTCAACGTAAAATGTTTAAAATCCTATATTGATTTTTGTTGCTGTTTTTATTTTTAAAAAAAAGTTCATTAAAGAAAAAATGAAAATGTAATTTTGTAAATGTATCATTGAAATAATTTTAAATAAATATGTTTACAGCCCGTAAATTAGCAAGCTTCAAACTTCTGTGAATGCAAATATGCTCTATCTGTATAAATATGTCAATATTGCAAGTCACCAAAACATATATAATCTTTGTTTTTAATTATATAATTTCTTATTATAAATCTTTGCATGAAGGTTTTATCTTCCAGTGTGGTCACAATAAGTCAAATTATTAAGTAAGTGGAAGATTCTTCTTTCCTTTCCATCTATGCTACGTCATGATAAAAGATGCTGCAGAAATTCAGCAAATACTCTATGGTAAGGATGAAATAAGCAATTATAAGCTCAAAGACATAAGAATGTTTTATTTTTAGTATTATAACTTTTAATTGACAGACCTTGAGAGAAAATAAGAGCATATATGCAAATAAAATTGTAGATGACAGGAATATTTACTTTCTACTAAGATCTGCCTCTCTGTCAGGGGACAATGGGACCACTCTCAACAAGAAAGACAATTTTGTGGATCATGTGGGCAGTAGGAAGATAAGGTGTTGATTTCCAGTCTGAGAAGGCAAAGGAGTTGGAGGAGAACATACAGAGGTAAAAAGATCTAGAAAGTTCACTGGCCAGGCAAGAAATTTCCTATTTATGAACCAAGTTGGTGAGGTGAAAAGGTCAATAGCAGTATCATGCAAGTGACACAGTCATATAGTAACGTAGAATATGATAACATCTATATCTATGACACATTCAATCGCAAATAAATGCATTTGCCTGTAGGGACAATGCAGGTAATGCAAATGCCTAGAGACATTGAGAGAATGTGGTAAAATGGCAACTTTGTGTTCTTCTAAGAGGATAAAGTCACACAACAGAAGCTCACTGTGGTCATGTTAGTATGATTACATAATGTTTCCATTATCTTATTTTCAAGAGAGCTGAAAATTTAGATGCCAGTATTAGTTCAGTTAACTCTTAAAACAAAAAGCATACACTTAGAATGACAGAAGCAAAATATTTACAAAAGATAGAAACGATAGAAAAATGAAATAACTTGAAGCTGAGTGAGCTTTGTTTTATTTATTTTTTTTATTTTTTTATTTTTTTTATTTAAAGAAAAGGAAACGAAAAAAAAAATACATGGAGATTAAAAAAAAAGGGTAGAAATAATACTAAATTACAGACACACAAAAGGTAAGAAATTGCCAGTTGATAAGTTACAAATTGTCATCTTCGCTGAGTGAGCTTTGGACACACTTCTTGAGAATCTCAAAGACTTCATCCATAGGGGAATAATTTATGAAAAGTCCTCAGAAAACCAGAAATAAAATTACCATATGATATCACAATGTTATTTCTGAGTAAATGTTCAATAAAATTAAAATCAATGTGTCTAAGGAGAAATTTATATACATATTCATTGCAGCACTATTCACAGTAGCTATGATATAGAATCAAAGTGCTTTCATAAAATAAATATAATGTGAAGTCGAAAGTGCACCGTTCTTCTGTCTTTAAAAAAGAGACCTTATCACTTGTGACAATGTTAAATGAAATAAGCCCAACACAGAAAGATACACAAGACCTGATCTCACTCACATGTGAAATGTAAAGCTGGTAAGCTCACAGACTAGACTAGAATGGTGGTTACTAGGGACTACAGGGGATATCAGGGAAATGTTTGTCAGATGTACAAAATATCAGTCATATAAGGAGGAGTAATTTTAAGAGATCTATTGTACAACATAGAAACTGAAGGTAGTAATAATCTATTTTATACTTGAAAATTGCTAAGAGAAGTCGTTTTGTGTTCGCACCACAAAAAACCATAATAAATGATAAATTATTTTTGTTAATTACACTGATTTACCCATTCTTCAATGTATTCAAATTTCAAAATATTATGTATTGTATGATAGATATATATGTTTGTTATTTAAAGCAAACAAGAAAACAACATATAGTATATGCAAGTAAGCTATAAAATTAAAAGACATCAAATTTTACTTAAAAGATTCATAAAATATAATCAGAAATTTTAAAAATTAAGAATAGAAAATACAAACTCAAATTAGTAATAATTTTTATTTAATTTTCTTAAAAGTTTTTCACATATACTACTAAGAAGTCACATTCACAGGTTTAATTTTTAAAAGTTCACCAGCAGTTTTCAGAATATCAGGGCACAAAGGACTCTGTACAAGTGCTATTGAAGACATCGGTGGGAGGGATGGACTTTGGCTCCACTCAGTGAGTCTTCACCAAGATTTTTAAACGCTGAACAAAAGCAGTAAGTAGAAGAATGTTATTTTTCTCTTTCTATATATTATGAACAGAGGAATGCTTTATGCTGTACTATGCTAAAGCTCAAAATAAAAAAAAGTACTATACATTATGAGAAGAAAAAAAGAAATGCAATATTTCTAAATCTTCAATGTACATAAGAATCACTTGTATGCTGTGGAACCACACTGACATCAGTAAAGGCTATTTTTCATGTGATTCTGAAGTACTTATAGAATAGTGATTTTTCTTTAAGGAAAAAGTAGCTTAGTCTTTGTCACATCAGAAAATATTCAAATGTTTGACACTGCCCATCAAAAATTATTCATAGTAATCATTTTATAGACTTGTTAGGATTATATATGTACATACATGTGCATACATGTACATATATATGTATATATATATATATACACACACATAGTGTCACATGTAATTTGTAGACATAAACATATTATGTATGAAGTAAAACCAAGAAAACAATCATGTAAGTAAAATCATATTACAAATTTATGAAAGATTTTTCTTTTTTTAGTTGGTTATATCATAGTTTTTCCAGGCATTAAACCATTTCCTTTGTTTTCAGTAATTTTGCGATTACTAACAAAACTATAAATATAAAATCTTAAAGATGTGTTCTTACTTTATTTGTATAGACAAACATTCTAGGATCACAATAGTTGGATTAAAGGAATTGTGAGGCTTATCATTATTATTGTTTGTATTATTATTTATTGTTATTATATTGTAAAAAGTTACTAGATTGTTTCTCCAAAGACTAATACAAGTCTTCCATTTTCAGTGTTTGAAATAAACTTTTTCTCATATTCCTATCTACAATAAAGTGATGCTACTTTAAATTCTTGTAGGTGATTTATATGAAGTGATATGGCAATTTTAGCTATAATTTGGATTCTTCAGACATATTGATGAATTTGTGTATTTTAAAAATGTTTAGTTGCCATTTGACTTTATTTTATGTAGATTTTTCCTTCCATAATTTTGTTAAATTATGCATTGGATATTGTGTGCAAACATAAAATTTATTCATATATTAATCCATTTCATGGTATATGTAGCTCGTAAGAATAAACATAGCTAACTCGTTTCATTTTAAAGATATTAATACTTTGCATTTTAATGTTTCTGTTATTGTTGTTTGCAGTGTTGAAGACCAAGCACTACATTTCATATACTTATTTTTCTTGAAACTGGTAATTGAACCCAGGGCCTTCCATAAGAGCTACATGTCCAGCCCTTTAATTTTTATTTATTTTTTTTTATTTTAACAGAGAGTCTCAATAAGTCACCCTATTGCTCGGGTTGGTTCATATTTCTTATTCTTTGCTTCAGTCTCCAAGAGTGCTGTGATTATTGACAAGCATTGCAAGCTGGTTTATATTCTATGTATTTTTAAGTGTTCCAGCTTTCACCCCTTTTCTCAGCCTGTTATTTCTTACATGTCATATGTAATATTTGTACAACAAAACCTTTCATTTTTATCCATTATTTCTAGTTATGAAATACTTCCTTAATTATGTTTCTGGGTTTTTTTGTTTTGTTTTGTTTTGTTTGGATTTTTCCTTTTTATCAGTACCAGGGATGGAACTCACAACTGCCAGCTTACAAGGCAGGCGTTATGCCGCTGAGCTAAATCCCCAGTCCCCTTAATTATGTTTCTAAAAATAGAAAGTATATCAACTCATCTCACTAATCTCTCAGTATTATACAGTTTAACAAATTTTCTCCATTTTCATTTTTCACTGTTTTCTTTCATCGTGAGAATAGTCAATATATGCTTTTGAATTAAAAAATATCATTTCCATTTCTGCCTCACTTGTGATGCACCTTTTCCCTGGAATATCTTTCAGTCATTTGTAAGGCTTAACTTGAACACCACATCTTCTTAAAATTCTCCTTCAAGATTTACAGGATAGTTTCTATATTCCACTATCTTACAAAATTTGTATCCTAGCATGCATTGCACAATGTATCATATGCTTTATGTTTTTCCTGACATGATCCTGTAATATCCCTAAAATATCTTTTCACTTGTTATCCAGTTTTTCCTTAGGTCTCTGAATATAGCATTGTTATTGCTCAGCATAAATAGACAATTTACAGAAGGATGGGTCACATTTGCCAAAAGTTGTCAGGTAGTCTAACTGTGGGTATGCAGTTATGAACAACCACACATGCATAAAGGGAAATTAACATGAAAATGCATTCTTTGTTTGCAGCACGAGACAAAATCTTCATCCTGCCAGAGATTTAGTTCAGTAGGGTAAGCAACTGCCGAGTGGGGGCGAGGTCGTAAGTTTGATCCTGGTACAAAAAAAAAAAAAAAACTCTCCATCCTTCAAAGGAATACACTTGTTTTAAACAATGACAAATACATTCCCTTCACTTACCTCACTGGGTTATAAAGTCCCATTCTCATCACTGTGGCTCAGAGTGGCTTGCTTTTCTATTCCAAAAACAGAATAATATTCAGACACTGAAATTAGTCCAATATTAAAGCCACATGACTCAATGGAGTGTTCTGAGTGAAAGAAAATAATTTACTGGGAAATGCAGCACACTTTCCCTTAAGTACCAAAGAAGCACTTTGAGCATCTAAGAAGACTGTTCCCAACAAAGAAAGTAACCAGCTGCAGTATAAGGCATAGAACATCTTTCCTAGCCCTTAAATATGTTTCCTGAAGTAGCAGTAGCAAATGCCAAATCCCTTGGATTGAGCAGTGAGATCAGCCCCTCTCACAAGCAAAGGTGCCCTTGTGCAGCGAGGACCGTGATCACTGGGCTATTTCTCACAGCCCCATACAGTTATGCTGCCCAGACAGACTCAATGCATTTGTGGAGGTTCAAGCAAATAAAAGGAAGTACTAACAGGTGAGAAGTAAAGCCACTGTTAGTTATGGATCCTCTTGGAATAAAGATATGGAATATTCAACCTTATATACCTTCAGTAAAAACAGAACCAAATACCAAGTTTAGGAAAGACAACCAAAAGGGAGTGGCAGTGCAAGGAAATATGAGTGAAGATATAAGTCAGAAGACACAAACCATTGAAAATATAGATTCAGCAAGTCTAGATAGCAGATATGCAACAGGAGCCCTAGCATAATACCACACAACTATGTACAGGATTTCTACTAAATGAATTGACTTTACCTATTTTTGTGCCCAAAGTCCCATGTGCCTCAGTGAATATTCTAATTTGCTTCACAACTAATAGCATTATACAATCTATGTGTATCTCATAACATCATGTTGTAACCTTAAATATGCACAATAATTACTCCAAAACAAAGAAAATGCAAAATGTCACCCTGATTTTCTTTTAGAGATTAATTTCTGTTTTAATAAAATCAGGAAAAAGTAATGATATTCTCTTGCATTGCTGTTGGTACCTATGTCAGAAATAACAATGGGCCAGTAAAGCTAGAAGCTTCCATATAATTACAATATTTTTTTTCTCTAAAACTAGCTTTCAGTTCATTACTATGCTTTCCCCCTTACATATATCCAAACCTTCTTATTATAAGATTTGAATCTTCTCCCATTGTTCATCAAAGTGGAATATTCAGTCTTGCTTGCAGGCATCATTCTGAAACCCCCTCCTCCCCAAGACCCAGCTACAGACTCTCAAAGAATCCACTGACCAGAGGAAGCATGCAGATCCAGATCATCTATCTTCTGTCTCGAATTCATCTCTTCATATCGAATGTGGTGGACGAAATGCTCCCCTCTTGAGAAAACTGACAATAGAAGTCCTAGGTTACCAATCAACAGACCACACAGTCTAACTTTCTTTCTTCCCTGTGTTCTTTTCTCAGCAGTGTAACCATATCTAATCCTTTCCCAGCCTGGCATTTTCTGCTTTCCCCACGGAATGCTACACATTTGAATGAAATAGGCACAATGCTAAAGCACTACCAGTGGCACCATATAGTAACCAACCTTCCCCACAAGGAAGCAGCAATCAGGAATTTATAATTTGCTAGAGATTTTTTTTCTAAATTCTTCTTAAAATATTTCCTTTCCTTCCATCTCATGATGAAGTTCTTTTCATCTTTCATCTGCACTGCTTCAAAATGTCATTCCTCTTAGTACTAAGGTCTTCCTTCAGTCTTTTGTATATCCTGTTGCCAACAGATTTCCTAAAAACTAGCTTAACCATTGTACTTCCTGGTTTGATATTGTAATGGCTATGACTCATCTTGCCTTTTAATATAAGAGCATCACAATTTGTTCCTTCCTCATCAGCAGCTTCTGTTCGTATGCTTAACTTTCTCTTCAGACAAATAAATATGCCACCTATGATACTCTTTACACCTTCACACATAGTCCTTCCTTATCCCTGGATTGTACCTCCTTGATTTCTTTAAACTCTTCTCTTAAAAGAGTGTCTCAAAAGCTTCTTACAAGTCTTTCGTATTCCCTTGGCCCTTTCAGTTAATAAGTGCCATGATGCATTTGTTTCTTTTCACATATATGTTTAATGCAGTGTGACTGTTTGCATGTTTGGGTTTCCCACTAAACTTGAAGTTCCCATGAAAACAAAACCACTCTATAATCTATTTATTCTCCTTCAATGCTCAACATGTTGCTTAGTTGAATGATTAAACTTTTTTAATAAGGATATTACATTATGAGTAAATAAACGAGCAAGAAAAGCTTCATCTAGGCCATAAATATCATATCCAATTTGAAGTGCCCATTCCATAATATCCTAATTAAATATGTACATGGTGTACAGAAATCATCAATGCAACTCAGTCCCCTTATCCCCAGTGAAATATTTCCCCTTTATTTTGTAAAATTTCTCAGATCTATCCTAAGTACCTATTTCCTGTTTATTTGATACATGAAGCTATTTCTCTTGTCATTGTTGTTTCTTTTAAATACCAAGAAACCCCTTATCCCATAGACACATTAGAAATGCCAAAATTTGATGCAGACCTGTGAGCCTTTGTATCTGTCGCTTTTTCAAAATCCAGGTGAGGAAACCAATGAGAAGTGCCAACAGAATGACTCCAAAGATTACCAAAACAACAAGAGACTTGTGCCCTTAAAAAGTGAATAAATAGATAAATAAATAAATGAATAAATAAATAAGCATCAAGAGAGATAAAGATGTCTGATGTGGACACTAAGTACTACATATCATTTTACTTAATTGCAGGCTCCCTAACGTAAATTCAAGGCCTCAGAACTCCTTTGGACCTAAACTTTCTGAAAAAGAAGAGTGTAGCTGGTTGGTCCCATATTCACAAACCCCAGCTGTACCTGATGGCATTGATTCTGAAGTTCCTGTAAGAAAAAAGAGAAAGAAATGAAATTTGGGAGTAATAGAGTAAATATTTCCCATTCCTTTGGATAGAAACATCAGGATTGTCTCCCCACCGCATCCCTGTGCCAATACATGCCGTCTTTAATAGGACAACGTGTAATGCACAACCTCTCTTCACTGCCAGCTATTCCCAGCTTACCCAGGTTCTTGGCACTGACCTGGCAGGCACTGCACTGCAGCGTCTTCCTTGTGCCCACAGTCACTGTACCCCCATTGTTTGGCAGGACAGTCCCACAAGGAAGATTCATTTCCTCTGCATTTCACTTGGCTGAGCCATATAGGTCCAGTGCCCTGACCGAAAGCTGCTTCTTTCAGCGCCTTCACGGCCTCGCCACAGCCGAGCTGGCGGCACACCACTTGGGCGTCATTTAAGTCCCAGGAGTCATCACACACAGTCCCCCAGGAGCCTCTGTGCCAGACCTCCACGCGTCCAGAACAATGTGCAGGTTTTCCCTGATCCTTAAGTCTTATTTTGTCTGAAAAATCAGAGACACTTTAGATTATTACTGAGAATATTAAAGCTTCTGAAAGATTACAGAAGAAAAGAGACGTTTAGAATTCTGCTCTTGAAATCTGTTTAAAAACTCCATTGCATGTGCAAAAGTGTAAAGAGAAGCTATAGAATGAGGGAAAATGTTTGGTCATATATTTCTCCAAGGACTGACATCTATATATAAAGAACTCAAATTTTAAAAAAGAAAGAAAGGAAAAGAAAACAAAACAAAACAAAAATAAAACTAGATACTCCAAATTAATAAAACCATCAAAAATGGGAATAAAAATGAATAGATACTTTTCAGATAAAGAAATGCAACCGGCCAATAAATACATGAAAAAGGTTAAATATTGTTGGCCATTTGAAAAGTGCAAATTAAAATAATATTAAGATTCCATCTCATGGGGCTGGGGATTTAGCTCAGCGGCATAAGCGCCTGCCTTGCAAGCAGGCAGTCGTGAGTTAAATCCCCGGTACCGATAAAAAGGAAAAAGACAAAAAAAAAAAAAAAAAAAAAAATTCCATCTCACTCTATCAAGAAATCAAGCAATAAGAAATGCTGACAAAACTGTGTGGAGAAAATAGCCCTTTTTCATTATTGGTGTTAGTATAAACTGAGATGATAACTATGGAAATCAATATGGAGATTTCTCAAATGCCAAAACAAAAATTCCATTTTATCCAGCTATTCTCTTTCTAGGTATCTTTGCAAAATAGTTAATAACATCATACTGCAGTGATGTATGTATACCCATATTTATAACAGTGCAGTTCATAACATCTGAATCTTATAAATGGCCTACATGCTCACTAATGGATAAAGAAAGCATACTTATAAACAACGGAGTGCTGCTGTGAAAACATAAAGGTGAGGCATGTGAAAGAAAATGAATGCACCTAAATCAGACACACAACCTTAACACTGTATGATTTCCCTTATATATTAAACATTAACATATAGATAAATGTGAAATAAAAGATCATAGAAGAAGAAAATGTAATTGTATTCTAACTAATTGTATTTCTTCTGTTGACTTAGTTTCATTCCAATATGGTGTGAGATCTCACTTTATAGGATTTCCAATATGTTGAATATGTTAAGGCCTTTACTGTTGCTATGAGCATAGTCTATCTCAGTGAATATTTCTGATGGTTTTGGGTGGACTGTTTGCTTTCCAGGTTTTGCACAGTGTGGTGCTCAAGGTTAGGCAAGATGTTTCTGATTTTGACTTCTATTGTAGATGCTTGTACTTTTTATAGCTAGAAATTTTTGAGGAAGATGTTTTGAAATTTCTGGTGATATTTGTGGAAATATGATTTTTCCCTTCAGTTTCATGTTTTGCCTTATTTGGTTGGGTGCTTTGGTTAGTAACATATGTATTAAAAATTGTTTCTTCTTACTGGAGAACTTCTTTTTATATTATTATATCACCATAGTCCTTGTTAGTTTTGAGGTACAAGTTTGATGGTGTCAAATTAACCTAGTTTCAGCAAGTTTTGTTGAGTCAATAATAGACTAGTGTGTCTATCTGCATAATGTTTTATTTGATCTGACCTTTTATGTTTATCTTATACTTGTGGTATCTTCTGAAATATTTTTATATTTCTTAAATTGATATGTGAGGCAATTTATAGAAACAAAATATACCAGGAACTGGGAAATTGCCATGTAGACTCAGAGTTTAAGGAGCATACAAATGGGGAAAAAAACTGTGGGACTAATTTTTAGCTATATTTTTTCTTATGTCAATTTAGCAAGATAATATTTGAACATGATTTGATAATTTGCACTATGCAGATATAATAGATATTACTCAGATTTCACCCTTCCTGCTTCATAAGGTCTATAAAGATAATGTGATGTGAGACTAGAAAAATAAAACCTTATGTGCTTTTCAGAAGAGGGTGGTGGAGCTGCCTAAGGGAGATTCCGCAGGAACCAGTAAACACTTACTGTCACATGTGATCCAAGTTTCTTCAGCTGGGCTGGCCAATCTCTGCCTCCAAGGAGAGGATGTACACTGCCACAGTGTGTCAGGTCCTATTGGACACTGCACCTTGTCTACCCACATGAGCCTGGATGGTATTTTATCTGAAGATGCAGGTTCCATGGTTCCATTATCTCCACAGCCCAGGTGTTTGCACACAACTCCCATAGTGGTCTCGGACATGTCATTCCTGCCGACGCTGCCCCAGACACCATTGTAAAACACTTCCAGACGTCCTGAACAGGTGCCCTGACTGCCTTCCCCTGTGAGTCTCAGAGACATATACTCTGAGATGAAATAAGAATTAGTAGTTAAACAACTCTTGAGATTTGGAAGAATTGTACCACTGTAAAGTGAGAGATGTTTTAAAAATAAACACATCTTCTCAAATACTAGTATTTATTTAGTGACTTCTTGATGATTTAGTTGATCTTAGCAAAGTATAGTATTTATTTTATCATACTTGCAGATTTTATAGCCTTGGATTTTCTTTTTTTTTTTTAACTTTGGATCTTTTTTACAATGTTTCATTGATGTTTTCCAGACCTAATTAAAGTCCAGAGCTTTCCTTTAATTACAGTTTGATTTTTTTCATGAACTTACAGTAATTTTAACCTCAAGGATCTTACTCTGTTATTGTTTAACTGATACACAAAAATTGTGCATGCTTTGTGGAGATAGTGCAATAGCTCAATTCATGTGTGTATATCTTGTGATCAAAGTGAAGTGTTGAGCATATTAATGTCCTCAAGTGTTTATCCCTTTTGTTCTTATTTCTTTTTCCTTTTATTGACAATTGTCTTTGACAGTTAAAATTTAGTGAGATACAGGCACTAAAGTCAATATTCTGTGTACACTGTCTTAAAATGAAATACAGTAAATCCCTGACTCACAAACACTCAGGTTATGAATTTTCATCGATATGAATCGATCTTGCATTATGAACATTTATAGATGCTACTAAATTATGGATGTAGCTCACATATCTGTTCGACATTATCACAGTTGTGCTGCTATGTGCCAACTGAGTAGTATGATAGTGTACAGTAGTTCAGTTCAGTAGTTAGGAACTTACTGTATTTATGTGTGTTGGGGATTTTTTATGCTTTGCATTGTATATCTGTATCAAAGATATTTAAGACTCATTTTGTTGGTCTTGCAGACCAATCAAACTTAAAAAAATTCTCATGATGAAACTTGTTCATCAGTTAGGGACTTACTGTATTTCCCTGTGAATCTTTAGATTTTTTGTGCATGTCTTATACTAGATTTATGTCATTAACTATGAATCAGTCAGTCTGCCTGAAAAATATTTTTACTCGTCCATAATATCATGTTCCTCCACATATTCTTTCTAGTTCATGAGAGCTTCTAAAGTTTATCAAGGAAAGAACAGTAACCTCTTTAAACAGTTTTTTTTTTTCTTTGTACTTAGGATTGAACTCATGCACCCATGCCACCGAGCCAAATCCCCAGCCTCTGACGTTTTTAAATAGTTCATGATAGTATAAGAAAAAAAAATCTCTTATTGAACAGCCACTTAAGCATGATGATTGTCTTCTTTTATGTAGAATGATGCATGGTATATGATTCTTTTTTATCTTATTAATCTGCTTAAATGCTATTATTTTAGGCAAGTGTTGGTTGCTAATTATTTTTAAATACCCATTTCTATATCTATAAAACAATATCCTTATTAAAATCTTCATGATATCCAAGCTCATTTCTGGATTTCACTGTTTATGATATCATACTATATTGCAGATGAGGCAGCACTAACTTATCAAACTCATACTTCTGGGATCTTAACTCTTGCAATTATCTCCTTGATTGTTAGGATTTTTAGGAAACTCTTTCAAATTACTGTAATTTACTTCACTACACTTTCTCACATCTAACTTTTGTCTGTGTAATTGTGACCAGGGTTATTTGTGAAATTACCTGAGCAGATAACTCCTGCATCTTCTTTATGCCTGCAGTTATGCTGACCCCAGCCATGAGAACGACACTGCCATATATGTTTTTCTTTTCCATTGCATTGTATCTCATCAAGCCAGATAGGTCCTGTTCCTTCTCCAAAATGTGCAGAACCAGTAGCATTAATGGCCACACCACAGCCCAGCTGTCTGCACACCACGTGAGCATCACCCAGATCCCAGCTGTCATCACAGATGGTGCCCCAGGAACCCTCATGGTAGATCTCTACTCTCCCAGCACAGTGACTATTTCCATTTACCAAGCGCACTTGACTGTTTTCTGGAAAATAGAACAAAATACTAATGAAAAGCACTCTTAAGGACTGAAATCATTTTCAGGGGTAGCCACTGTTTCTTACCTAAGCAGGTAACAGCACTTTCTGGTGGAATGGAAGAGACGGTTGGCTCCGGAGATGATGCATTGCATGGCCACAATCTCTGGGACTGATTTCCTACAAATACCAAACTGTTCCGTCATATAAGATGCTAAAGTTTAGGGTGAAGAATAGGCATTCAAAGAAATGTTACACAGATGAGGACAAATATGGTTTTCAAGAGAAGAGAAGATGGGTGGGTAAACAAGCCTGTGCTTAAATCAGGTGCTTTGAGTAGAGTATGGCCCATAGTGAGTACTAAATAGCAGTGAACATTCATGACAACTAAACACTCATCTTCTAAAAAGACAAATGAGGCTAATATTCTGACATACTCCTCATTACCCTCAAAATGAATGACTCCCTTTTACTTTTCTTCTCTGTCACACTAAGAATACCTGGTCTTAGCACAACCATAGGAGGTGCTCACTATAGCCTGTCCTTGTCTTACCTGAGCAGATGACAGAGGCTACTTGGCTTTCAGAACACAGTGATGCACCTAGAGCGGTTAAAGGGCAGTCTCCCATGTGCTCCTCAGTCCCTTTGCAGTGAAACGTGTGCCTCCAGACCAGGCCATTTCCTCTCCCAAAATGTGCTCCTTCAGGGGTAGAAAGGGCAACTCCACATTTCAGCTGCTGGCATAATACATGGGCATCTTCCATGCTCCAGTGAGAGCTGCAGAGGGATCCCCAGACTCCAAGTACCTTGAGTTCCACTCTTCCCTCACATGAGGACTTGCCATCAACCAGGCGAATTTCTGTGTATCCTGGAAGGGTATAGAGCTTTAGAAAGATGGCTGTGACTGCCTAACCCTTCTCCCTTCCCACTATGAGAAAAATGCGAAAATGCTCTCAGAATCTCACTTGAGCAGATTACGCCAACTTCTCTGCTGTGATCACAAGTCCCATCCTGGCGAGGTGCGAGTGGGCAGAGTGAAAGATGGGACTCGCTTCCTTTGCACTGAAACTCTTCGGTCCAGATCTGTCCTTTCCCTTCTCCAAAGTAAGCTCCCCCTAGGATAGAGATGACTGAACCACACTGAAGTTCTCTGCACAGAACACTGGCAGCTTCCAGAGAGAAGTCAGAATCACAGACTGAGCCCCACTTGTCCGCATGCTTCACTTCCACACGACCAGAGCAAGGCATGTTTCCATCAACCAGCCTGGGCTCCCTGTGGGCTGAAAAACAACAGCACTTCAATGAAAAAATCATGATTTCTATATTTTCTCTCATTATGAGGTAAAGAATTGGGATAAAGAAAGGAGATGGTGGGTCAGAGTATTTATTGATCTTGCACTGGTATTTGTCTTTGATTTTAGCTTAGAGGTGATCCTGGAATATTCTAGATGTCCCATTCCTCATTGGATTTCTCCTAGAACACTGAAAATTTCTATTCCTGCTGCCAATTGCCTCCACCCAGAAGTAATTGCTCTTTTCTTGTAGCATTCTATTCTCGTATTCACACAGAAAGTGGATCTAGCTACTGTTGGTCAGTTCTCAACACAGCAGTCAGGATTTGGCCTCAAATTTCTATGGTTCTAATTAAAATGTATCAGTATAGTTTTTAAAATGAGCGTTAGACTTCTCCTCATTGACATCTACACTTCACATGGGTGAATTTCCATTATCTTATTTCTCCTTTCTCCATTCTGAAACCCATTCATTAACCTAAACTCTTGCATCAAAACTCTTCCTTGAGTCATTGTTCTGCCAATATTTTCTACTGTGTGGACACCTGTCAATTAGCAACAAACAGATTTTTATACACACTTTTCAGTTTTATGGTAATAAATGTACCTTTTTTAACATCTGAAAATTACAGTATTGAAAAATACAAGAAGTGTCTTATGATAATCCCACTGTAATCTTTACTCAATTAATAATATCCAAACCAGACTGGAGTCACTTGTACATGGACCAATTTTTATATCACCACAAATTGTGGTAACAATAATGATATAGTGAACATTAAGTGAATACCTGTTAAGTGTGTGATTTTAATAAGCATTTACCAAACACCACACCAGTCTTTCAAAATGCTTGAGAATACAATTATTAATAAAATTCAAACTTTACAGACTAGGAAGCGGAAGTAACACCAGGTGTGTTGGTTTGCTAAAGTCACATAAAAAGCTAGAAGAGGTTAGAATTTGAAGTCAGGCACTATATTCCAGAACTTAGAACTTGAAGTTTACAGTGTCTGTCACACCTAGAACACAATTCTTCTCTGTATGCCCTGCTATTGCTTAAATGTTTTGTCGCCATCTGTCATGGAGTTGGAGACCTTTGCAGGACCTTTCTGAGTGGGCTTCCTTCAACATTCTCTTTCCAAGGACTCTATCCCATGATCATCCATATATAACTAAATTCCAAATATTTTCAGATTATTTCTTTGACATTATTCGAAGTTTCCTTACCAATTGTACAATAATTTATCCTTATAGCAAATATTATTACATGCCTACACCATTGTCTGACATTGTGTTAGTCATTTGAAGATGAATACACTAAAAAGTCTATCATAAAGTTCACTTATCCTTGAAGATGAGTCATTTTAATATTATGATTATAATTATTACCACTGCAGCTCATATTTACCACATACTGTGTGATTCCTGTGAGGCTGACATTTTTGTTACATCAATTCATTTGCCAGGGATGAGTAGGGTGACAATACAAAAAGTCTTAGATTCCCCAAAGTTTCTCAGATATTAAAATTAAAGAAATAGGATAAATACTAATTTCTTAGCATATTTTACTATATTCTGCTCTCTTCATAGCAAGTTTAATATCTGTGACTCTTTTAATGATGCTCAATGTTCAAACCAAAAGGTATTTGGACACGTTATAATTTTTTGTGCTCGTGTGCTCTGAAAAGAACTTTTCTATCTATACTGTAGGTACCTGCCTGAAAAAGGCTATTTCGTTCAGAGGTTGCTCAATTTCAGTTAGATTAGGAGTTTTCCAAATAGAGTATGAAGAAGAGTATAATTAATACAGTCATAAAACCGAATGGTGGAAATGAGGAATTCTATAACATTTAGTATAGCTGAAATTTAATATATAAATAAAAAACACACCAAATATAATAAATGGAACACTGACTGGAAAAGTGTTCTGTGTCAAGCAAAACAACACAATCATCAAAATAAGTAATTATTTCCCTTACCAACTTCAGAGATAATTTGAATAACATAGAAAATGCAAATACTTTAAATTCATGTTTAAAAATGAAATCCTTTGAAGAACTACAAATACAGTGTTAACTCTAACATTTAAAAAATAAATACAAGGCCCAGGATTTAGCTGAGCAGCACAAGCACCTGCCCATCAAACGTGAGATCATGAGATCAATCCCTAGTACCAAATAAATAAATAAATAAACAAAATAGTTTAGCATAAGTCTGCTCTCCTTATGATTCTCCACAAGTCACTCATCCTCATGATTCCCCTGTTGCTAGTACCATGGTATAGATAAAACCTCAGGTTTAGTTAAAGTCTCTATTCTAGTTTCCTTTCTGGTCATATAAATGTAGGTTAAACTTTTCCAGACATGACTATATTCTGTATTACAGCACTATAAAATACCTCAGTATTTCAAAATCTCACCAAATATTTACTGTCTCTTAAAACAAAATTGAGATGAAGGTGTTGCTTTTTAGTCATGGCTCAAAATTAAAGGAAAATGATGTCTCTTTGATACAAGATACTTCAGTTTGAAGTCTTGTAACTTATTTTTTGGATTCTTGTATGAACATAAAATTCCTGTAAGGCCTCCTTGATTGGAATGGCGCCAATTCTGTTAAAGTTTGGACAGACCTGAAACCTTAAATAAAGGAAGTTCCTTATATCAAGCCTCAAATGAGATTTTTTATTTCTTCAACTCACTTGTCTGGAACAACTTTAAGCAAAATAAAATACAAACAATGAAAAATAGACCAAAAGCAAATAAAAATAAACGTTTTCATCTTCCCTGATGAAAACTTGTTTTATATTTGCAAATAAGTCATTTCTGTAAGTGTTTTCATTTCCTTTCTCTGAAAATATTTGAGTATAGGACAAAGAAGAAATTCTTCCACTCAAAAAGAAATTTAGGCTCCATTTTATATTTTATGAATATGATAAAACATGTCTACTCTTATCATGGGTTGGCTTCCTTATACCACTTAATCTGTATCCATAATTAGAATATTGGAAGCTTAGCTCCTTAGAGATGCTTTTTTCTGAAAATTGTAAGACAGTAGTTATTTTATACTGGAGCCATTAAACAAATTTTCTACTCAAATTTATCTCCTTTGATTAACAAAATAAACTTTCTCCTGGCCATGTAACTAGATATTTTACTTTCTTTTTTAAAAAAATGAACAAATCATGAGAAATAATTAGAACTGGTATTTTTGTTTAGTAAAATAAATATATATAGCATTATTTAAAGAAATATAAATAAATTTTTATCTTTTAGTATTTAAAATTTAGAACTAGCAATGTTGAAAACAACACCCTACATCTTAAATACCCTATTCCCAAATTGAGCTTTACCAAACAATGAAATTTATGGCCCACATATAAACTCAATGAGTGCCTCTAAATAAAACAGAATTCTAGTTTTGTGTTTTTTCTTATATCTAAGTTTAAAAGGACCTTAAATCAGAGGCCAATAATTAAGAGAAAGTAGCTGATCTTAGTATAGATCAACCTATGCTAATATTCCCTGTGACTGTAATTACATATGCAAGACACTGATTTAAAATGAGAAATCTATTAAGCTTGAAAATAACTGTTCTACTGCTTTTATGAATAGCTGACATTGGCCAATGCTAACTCAGTTTTGAACCAATGCAAGGTTTTCTAAACCCATGTGGGCAGAAATTGAGTTGTGAAAGTTGTGTACCCCCAGCAGATACTCACTTAAAACCACACACAGAGGTAATGATGAAGAACAATGTACCTGGAAGAACCGCCCCAGCTACAGCACCTGTACCTACCACAGCAGGAGCTAAAGGGCACCTCAAAAAGGAGAACCTACATCATCACACTGACTTCCCACAGAGCTCACACAGCTGCAGCGCAACTCATTATCCTTGCCAGGCAAGATTTAATGGTTACTGCAGTAAAACAATTCTGCATATTTCTTGGTGACCACATCTACTAAAATAATCTTAAACTGCTTATCTGTTTGACTTGTTTCCAATGAGAAAAAGTAAAATATTTGTTTTAGCTACTGTCTTGTTGCCTATGTAGCACAACTAAACAATAATTTAAAATGCAGTAGGAAAATACAGAAAGCTTTCTAAATTTAGAAGGAAATAACCCAATATGCAATTATATTTATGCATGCCCAGATACATGCAAAGCCTTTAAAAATGGTCATATACTGAAATATGTTTATATTCAGCAACACACAGTGTGTCAATGTATATTTAGTATAGATAATACAAAACTATAACAATACTTAAGTTTCAAATATAACTCTTACCTCAAAAGGAAATTCAATTAGATTTTTTAAGAACAAATCCCAGTGCTATACTAAGAAAAAAAATTGCCTCTAAATATAATAATTCATAAAGCTTGAAAATAAAAAATAAAAATCAAAGCAGCGGTTATGATATTAATAGTAGGTAGAATTGATTCAAAACAAAAAACATTCAGTCACAGAAATTTGGGAACATTGAAATACTAAAATGAACAATTCACAATGGCTATAGAAAAATTGTTTGAAGAATCATGTTTCAGGTTATCGTATCATCAATTTGTTAGTTATATGTTGTAGTTACTGATGCACCCAACAGGAAACCTATAACATGAAACATTTTTAGTGTTAAGAAAAAGAAAGTTAATTTAACACCTATCTGAAGACTTAAGGACCAAACAGAATCTATAAAATCAGAGGTAAATTAATTAGAAACAATACAAATCTTAATGAATTAGAAAAGAAAGGTGACACTTTTTCAAAAATATAAATTCTGAGTCTTTAAAAGCAAATGAAGTTAATCCAACAGTCAATCTTATCAAGTAAAAGAAATCAAAAGCAAAAGTAAATGTGCATAATAATAAATAAGAAGATAAACATCATAGATACAGAGGTAATTCAGAAAGCTCTTTAAAACTTTGTAATTATGGTCAAGATATTTTACTAAGTGGAACTTTAATATACAGATATATAGATACATAGATATGTATATTCCCAGTATAACAAAAGAGGTAATACTTAAATATGAGTGTGTTTGAGTTTTTATTACATCAAATACATCTTAAATGACATGTAAATATCTGAACCATATAAAGTTCTAAAGGGTAAAAACAGGAGAACTAGAAATAATAGTCACAAAATATTTACATTATCCTGTTTGCTTTAGGTGATTTTTTAAATTAATTTTATTAGTATACTTACAAAAGGATCCCATTCATCATAGGGGATTTGAAACTGTTCATAATATATCCTAATTCTTTTTTTTCTTCCCTTCCCTTCCTTTCCCTTCACTTCTCTTCCTTTCCCTTTCTTTCCTTTCCCTTCCAAGTTTTGTAGAGGAAGTGGGGAGAAGCATTTTTTTTGTACTTTGAACTTTAAAGCTTGAGAAAATACTTCCTAGTCAAGATTTTTTGAAAAGCAATATAACACATTAAATCTGTCTTCAATAATTGTGAGAGTATAGTGACCACCTAACCAGAAGTGAACATAATTTATAATATGAGGGGAACGCAGTTGGGAGCAGACTGAGTTTGAGGGGTATCTGGGATAAGTCATTGTCTGCCTGTGACTGTGTTTCGCAGGTTTAATGATTTTCTCTTGCAGTTTTCTTTAATATCCTTTTACCAAAGAGTAACAGATGTATGATTACATCACCTGAGAGTTGTTGAAAAGGCTTCACTTAAACAAACTTATTTGTTGTATTTGTATGATTATCATAAAATACTAAAGATTATCCACAGACTGACAAGCTCACAACTCCCTTCTGAACTTTCAAAAGAGATTGTCATGAAATATATGTATATATTCAAAATGAAATTCTTTCATGGTAAGATATAGGAACTAAGGTTAAGTTGTATCAGTTTATTCAAATTACTTATTTCTTAAGTTATTTAGTAATATTCCCATAAAAGACATATTTAAGATCTATTTTAAAATTTTGATCCACTTAATCTTTTACACCTCCATCAATTGAAAAACATTACTCAAATGTCAAAAATGGTAAAAAAAAAAAAAAAAAAAAAACTCCAAGATACAAAATGAATTTGTAAGTTTTCTAAGACTCTCACAACAGAATCTGTGTAGATGTTTTTTGGTTTCATGGTACATCTAGTCATGGAGAACAATGTTTCTTTTCAATTTCAAAAATATTCTTAGAATTAAGACTCTTCTTAACAAGTAGTTTAAAAGTCTTACCTGAGCAGGTAACTTTGGCTTCTCCATAGGAACATGTCTCTTCACTCCATTGCGAATTCTTACAGTCCCAAAGAGAAGTTTCATTTCCATTACAGTTTACTACTTCCAGCCACACTTTTGATGGTTTAGTTTTAGAGTACATTATAGAAGATGTTTCAACCGCAGATCCACATCCCAGCTGTTTGCAAGCTATATCAGCCTCCTGCAATGTCCAGACTCTGTTACATACCTTTCCTACAATTTTCTGAATTTCTACTTCCACCACCCCAGCACAACGGCTGCCTCCACCTATAAGCCTCAGTTCCAGATCTGATCCATCTGAAAAAGAAACAGAAATGTAGACTGTCAACTCCTACCTTGTTTACAACAAAAGGTTGGTAATACTCCACCTTCCCAGATACTTAAACAGTAGAAATTGTCTCAGTGGTAATGTCTTTCCTGACGTTTTAAGGAACAAGTATGGACCACGAATTTGATTAGAAATCATATTGTACTTTTAAGGATATTTTAAATTGTCAGTGGCTGAATCATATGAGCAATTCTGGCATGAAGGAGCGTCCTATAAAAGTGTAACTCTGAGCCTCAGGTAAATTTAGAATTTGAAGTGCTAGTCTCTAACTATATTCTGAATAATTATTATGGATAGTAGAGTTAGACAGACCTCCACACTACTTGAATGCAGAATGTGTCAAAGATTTTCACCATGATAAAGCAATTTCCAACAACAGACTTGTTAGGTATTCTCATCGTTTACATCTCAAAAGCTATTGCTACTCTGGAAGGACACAAACCCTTTCCTGTCTGCTTTTCTTGTTGTTTGAACTTACCAGAGCATGTCACCCCAACATCTTCATGATGATTGCAAAAATGTTTTCCCCACTCTTCGTGTCCACAATACCAGAGAGCAGATTCATGTCCTTTACAGGCAACTCTGTCAAGCCAAATATTTCCAGATCCTTCACTGGCATTTATACGACCCATGGCAATGACGGTAGTTGGACATCCTAGTTGCTTGCACACCACAGCAGCATCCTCAATATCCCAGTGGTGTTCACATACCGTCCCCCATTCTCCTTGGAATTTCACTTCCAGTCTTCCTGAGCAATTAGTCACTCCTCCGTCTACCAATCTCATGCCCATATCCGCTCCCTCTATAAAAGGAAACTATAAGTTAGTTATTAGTTAACAGGAGTAAGAGTGACTATAACTAACTCAAAAGGGGGATATATATATATATATATATATATATATATATATATATATATTTATCCTGGTATACTTACACTGAGAATCATTAAAGACATGAGGAAAATAGGTCAGGCAACAAGACAATGCTTTCCAAAATAGAGAGCTAACAAGTATTCTTAAGAGGAGGTCCAGAGCACAGATTTTATGTAAGATCTGATTGTTTTGTGATCAAATGTTTTGTTAGAATTGTTTATATTTTCTTATTAAAATACATTTGCATGTGGTTAGGTTTTATCCACAAACTCAATTTTGCCTCAATACTTGACACTCCTTTGCACCTCTGGCCACATTACCCATCTGTACTGTCTGGTTTTCATCCAGTGCCTGCCTGTGTTCTTTTTTCCTTCAAAAATAAGGCAAACAGAAGTGAAGCTTCGCCATTACTCCATTTACCTCCTCCAATCATTATTTTTTATTTTGTTTTTAAATTTTAAAAATCAAAATGGAAAAAAATGTAAAAATAATACAGAATTAAAAAATAGTAAGAAATTAACACTAATATATTACACATGGTTATCTCAGAAGTAGTTGCTTGAGTTACAAAATCAAAGTACAAAAAGTGAACAGACAATCCAAAATGTAAAGTAGATATTATAATAATGAAGGTGAAAGAAAGTGCTGAAAGGAAAGAACAATTTGTAGGTATAGATATATAACTGTATATAAGTTTAAGTCTGCAGGATAGGTAATCATACTACTATTTTTTCTGTTACTTTATAAACAAGAATAATTTGTGCTGTCATTGTTTGACAATCAGTATTTCTTAAAGGAAAGAAATTGGTTCTGAAGAATATCCTATGATATTGACATACACACTTCTCTGCAGTATAAATTTCTTGTTTATTTTAATTCCTCCACATGTGTAAAACACACTAGGAAGAAATGCACTGAATCAAAGCCTAGAGATATGTTAACTGAAAGTGTTTTTTCCTAACCAAATCCCTTTTATTCTCCTCAGTTAACAGAGTTTATCTTCCTTATAGGAAAGAATCTTCTTTGTGCTTCAGGTTGTTCTGTCCAACAAGAAAATGCCAATTCAAGAAATGGAGAGAAAAAACACAGAATGTATCAGTCAAGCATCTGAATCTATCCACTTATAAAACTAATTATACCTTCTGAATTTCCCAGTTTTGTAAGCCAATGTTCTCTTATTTCAATATTGGCTTTGAATCAAACTGTCTTCCTTTGCAGAGAGAAAAAGAGAGATCCTTGGTGAAGAAAAACTATATTTTTCTAAGCACTCTCTGGTGTAAAACACACTAAGTCTCTTTCAAACCAAAAAGTCAAGTGAAACAGAAAGAGCAGAATCTGTGCCTATGGAAACCCTGTGTCCTGTCCCCAAATTGAAGTGTGGAATGTGAAAGTCTGCAGAAGAAAGAAGACTGTACTCTGGATCGTTAACCTGATTCTTTCCACAGTTCTAGTAGCAAACTGAACTGGATGAGAACTGAATCAAATGTCCCCTTAAATTCAACATCGAACCTAACTGTTGAATTTGATTTGCTTCTCATCCCACTCGGTTTGCAACCAAAGTCATAGAAAGAATTAAGGTTATGCAGTGAAATATCACTGTATATGCTCACACTGTAGTCCTAGCATAAGTGAAGACTGAATAGGAAACCAAGATTTGAGTTTTGATCATTTGAGTCTATGAATTTGTTTGAATGAGTTTGCAATGAGCAATTTAATGTTGCCAAAGAGGAGACTTGATATCCAGAGAATAAGTGGAAATAGTTTACTATTTATTTATGGCTACTGGGGATTGAATACTGTGCCTTTGCTCTGAGCCTACATCCTGAGTCCTTTCTGTTTTGAGAGTTTTTTTTTTTTTTTTTTTGACAAGTTTTCATTAAATTAGTAAATTCGCTAGACTAAGGTTGAAACTTGCAATCCTTCTGTCTCAGCCTTTCAGAGTGCTTGGATTATAGGCCTGTGCCATGACAGTTTGGTTTGCTCTTAAAACTGAAACAAAAACCAGATTTCTATGTTAAGCCTCCACATGCTTTTTGTCCCTTTTTCTTCTGCCTTTCTTTCTTTCTCTTTTCCTCTTCTGTCTTCTCCTCTCCTCTCTTCTTTTTCCCTTTTCTTTCCCTCCCCTTTCTTTCCCTTTCCTCTCCCCTCTCTCTTGCTCTTTTTGGTAAATATTTTCTTCTTTCCTCATGATGTAGAGTTTCTAAAACTTTCTTCTAATGTCTGTTAATATAAAGCCACAAATATCAGAACTAGAACCCAAATGAAGCAGTACTGAAATGACAAAGGCATGTTCACTATATCTGAAGGGCTCAGGATTTGAGGACTATTTCCTTTCTTTAGCCCTGTCACAAACAAAGGAACATTCCTCACCCAAGCAAATCACTCCAACATCTTCAGAATGACCACAGTTATTTTTTCCCCATCCGTTGTGTTTGCAGGACCAAAGAGTTGACTCATTGCCATGGCATTCAAGATCATCGAGCCAGATAGGTCCAGAACCAGATCCAAACTTTGTTGAACCAGCAAAACCGACAGCAGTTTGACATTGAAGCTGGTTACAAACCACCGAAGCATCTTCCATGTAGAAATGATCATCACACACTGTTCCCCATCGTCCTTGGAATTTGATCTCTAATCTTCCAGAACACCTACCACGCCCATTCACAAGTCTCATCTCCAATTCAGATCCATCTAGAACAGAGGATAGTGTTAAGTGATGCACATTCCTAAGTGGTTACACAGAGTATTCTCAGGATGCTCAAAATTTCATGCTCCTTTAACAATTATACCTGATTTTGGATATTCCCCTATTCTAACCTATTAGAATCTGGTTAAAAATTAGGACTTTCCTTTATGTCTACACATAAGGGAAAATGTTACACATATTAAAATTTTTAAATTTTCTATTTTACTGTATTTCCATTAGTAGGAAAGAAGTTAACACTTTTGCACATAAAAATACACAAAATTGACTCAGTATTGATTTAGCAAAAATTTTGATTTCTAAAACAATAAATAATTAATTTGGTTCATAAATTTAAGTAATAAAAATGGTATGTTGGCTATTGCTTAATCATTTAAAACCCTTATTTTTTACCTTTCTTTTCATAAAAAGTTCAGAAAATAAATAAAAACCTTATTTTTACCTTTCTTTTTTAATAAACAGATCAAAAAATAAATCATTGAAATTGGATTTGAAATTAGAAAATAGGAAAAAGCAAACAGCAAATAGAAAAATGTATACAGTAACTTGAGATGGTAGTTTGCAAGAGCATGCTGTGGAGTACAAATTCTTAAAAGTCAAAAGAATATATAATCAAATTAGCATATTTCTTCTTGTTTCCAATTGAATTGAAACAGTTTTTTCCCTCTTCAGAGCATCTGGTACCACTGTTAGCAAAACCCAGCTTTGTTCATAAGGAGAATTCTTTCTGCCAGCTACCTTTCAGATTTTCTTAGAGCACTAAATTAAATGAAAAAATAAAGGTTTTGAATGAAATTTTAAACATCTGAAAAAACAAAAATTGCATGATTGACTAGGATGTTTAGAAGTTCTTTCTTGAAATATAATTTATTCTTACAAACTGTAAAGTCCAGACAAAAATCTCTACTTAACAAGATTTATTCTTACTATGAGTAACTAATAATAAAACAAATAAGAACTGAGAACCAAAAATATGCACTATCACTTCTAAGTGTTTTGCCTATCATCTTCTTTTTCTTTACAAATTTACATGCTATTATTATTATTATGTTCCACTTCACAAATAAGAAGTTTGAGATTAAATAATTGGCATAAAGTCAAATATCCAGAAAATGGTAGAACTGGGATGTCGAGGGGCAGAGGGTATAGCATCACAGATTATCCTCTGGACTCTAACGATATATTGCCTCAGAGCCTGTGCTAATGAGGTAGAAAATCTGAAAACTGAGTATTGATTAGAATCAGGAAACCCAGAATTGTCGATGTTGCAACTCAACAAAACTATCACATGCATTAATAGCTATATACCTTTTTCTATAAAGGTGAGAGTCCAGTTGTAGTCTTAAGTATATAAACTTCAGAAAGTAACTTCAACTAACTCCCTCCTTACTTATGCAAAAACAAAAAACAAAAGCTAAAGGTACTATGTTAGCTAATCAGAAGTTCTATAGATAAGAATAATTGCCAAAGAGCTTATTAAAGTGCACTGTAGTTCTAAGACTTATTTTTGTTATTCTGTAGTATTGAATGGTTAATAATAAATAAAAAGAGAAGGGGCAGAAGGAAGACAATGAGGAGGTAGAGGAGGAGGGAAAAGAAGGAGGAAGGAGAAGGATGTGGAGGAGAATAAAGAGAAGGAGGGAGGAAGGGTAGGAGAAGGAGAGCAAGGATATGAACAAAGGAGACCTGAGTCATCACGGTAATGAAAGGCAAAAAGCCATTAAAAAATCAGCATTCCCAGCATCTATGACATACTGTACACATTACCATCTATTCTATATTTATTACATAATTGAATCCTCATTAAACTAAAGTGTAGAGAGATTTAGCAACTTCTTATGAAACCATAGCACTATGAATAACTGGGCTGGAAACTGATTCAGCATTTCTTTGGATGATAGATAGCACTGTTTCACTCCAGTGCAAGTGATCAGTTCCTTTTACAGAGGATCTTTCAGGAGAAATGACTCTAGGAGAGACTGAGCAGGGAGGATTTCATGGAAGTCGACAAAATGAGCATGGAGAAATGGGAGCCCAGGGATCAGATCTGGGTCAGAAATACCAGATTTGCAAACAAAAAGAAGTAGCACATAATTCTCTAGGATACTCTTAAGTCACTTTAGATAGAAGTTATAAAAAATACTTATAAATTAAAAATACGTGCAAATGTAATGAATAGTACTAGATATTGAGAAAAGCAATTACACTGTGAAAATATCCTTTCTCCAATAAGGTAGGACTGGTATTTGTGCTATAAGTATTTGTTTCTTTTTTAGGTAGTCACCTTTTTGTATAAAATGTAGTGATTTATGAATCAAATCCATTAAACCAATTGTCACTTGGAAAGGAAAACACAATGACCTTTGAGATCATGATATTTGCACATTATGGTACAATTACTAAAAATTGATAACAGTCACTTTCTCATTGAACTTGGTTTCCAGAGTCTCTTGTTTTTGTTTTTTCTTTCTTTTTTTTTTTTTCTGGATTTGAATTTTCTCATGTTTTCCAAACAGTGAATTTGATAATTTTATGGATGGACTGCATCAGTTCTATAAAAGTGACTCATTTTACTTCTCCAGCCCTCTATGCATTTTTTCACCATGCATTTTATAATGATTATGAAATGTTCAAGGAAATAGGGAGCCTCAGAATCTGACTTAAATCAGAAATGTGCCCTTCAAATTTGCTTTGACTCAGGCAAGTCTTACCTGAGCAGGTGACTCCAGCATCTTGTTGGTGAGTACAGTTAGCCTTTCCCCATCCACTATGGTTGCAATCCCAAAGAGCAGATTCATTCCCTCTACAAGAAACATGGTCCATCCAAATACGTCCAGCTCCACCACTGGAATTAGTCCATCCAGTGGCTGTGACAAGAGTTGGACATCTCAGCTGACTACAGACCACAGCAACTTCCTCCATGCCCCAGCCATGATTGCATACTGTTCCCCACTCTTCCTGCACTTTTATTTCCACTCTGCCACTGCATCGGTTTTCACCATCCACCAGCCTTAACTCCTTTTCTGTTCCTCCTGCAACAATGAGTTAAAATAGCAATCGGTCAAGGTCATAAAGAGCCAGTGCAGAATTAAATTTTTTATATTACTTATTTACCCTTCAAAGTCAAATTTCAAAATCAGGTTTCATCCATGGTACAAAGAAATAATACTGTTTCATAGATCTCACAGGATTGAAGTGAACCAGTGCTCTAAAACCAGGAAAGCTCAGTAACATAGTACTACATGGTATATTATTTGATCATTGAATTTTCTTAATAATGGCAATTTATATAATCACCATGAGGAGTTTACTAGTTAAATAAGATTCTACAGACTTTTGTAGGGATGGGCTAAAAATGATTCTTTTGAATCCCAAAATATGTGTAAAATGGTATTGATCTTAAAAACAATAGTTGGAATGTGACCAAAACTAGTGGATTTAAATGGGAAATAAGATGGAGAAATTTTCCTATTAACTTTCTACCATAAATAAACTCCCACACAGTCCTTCTCTAAATTTTCTCAGCTACCTTATTACCATTATTTGAGCATAATTTAGGGAACCAGTTTCCCCTTCAGCCTGCCTTACTTAGTAAATGTTGGCATTTGAATTTATTAAAATGCTTCTAAAATTCTGATTTGATGCCAGTAATTCTGAAGTTTATTTTCCTGTGATCTCTGTTGTATTTTCAGCTGAACATTCTGTTACATGGCTACATGGTCAGCTTTTCTGAGAGTTTCTTTTAATTAGAAAGAGAAGAAGGCAAATATTAGGTGTCACACAGTTTGCTTGTTATTGTGTGATTTTAATATTTAATACTTCCAATCCATGGAGCAGAGCTTTTGGATGATATTCAGTATACAAAAGAATTATTTATTTAACAATTATTGTGAAGATGGACTAAGACAGAAAGTGAAGTGACAAAGTACTCACCAAGAGAACTGGGTATGAAAGATGCACTGAGAAGTAAGATCACAGCAGTAGTGAAGAGACTCAAGCGGGCTAAACGTCTTGTGAAATCTGTTAAAGAAAGAAAGATAAAAGTAGTGCTTTCCAAAACAGATATTTGGGGAAAAACAAACAAATAAACAAACTAAAGACAAAACAAAACAAAAACACATGGTAGCAGATGCTTGGAGTTAACAAGGACAATCAAACAAGAAAGAAAATCCTTCTAAATGGGAAAAAAAGGAGAAATTTACACTCAGAAAATATCTCAATGAAATAATTTTGAAAATTTTTCTACAAGTACCCTAAGAATATGAAATTAGAAGAAAGTTGAAGGTTGATCAAGTATTGAAAAGGCAAATTTGAAACCCAGAAAACTGAAAAAGGCATCAATGAAAAAAATGTGCAGGTATTCCTGAAGGTACAAAGCAGATTTCCTGAGATTTCTACGTTCTCTTACCTCCTCAATATTTGATTATTGATATCCCCACCTTTATGTCTACCTATTCCATTCTATTAATAAATTTCATGAGACAGTAAATTCTACCATGTTCACTATAATTTAAACACTACCTGGCACAATGCTTGGCAAATACATTGATACAATAATGTGTTACTATTTATATCTGATAAATCCAAATACTGAGATTTTGTCATCTGCGATTCAACACTCCAGTGTTTTTATTACTCTCGTTTTCCTTAATACTCTCACTCAACACTAATTTAAAAATAAAAATGATAAATGATTTTAATATGCCCATATAAGTCATGAAATGGATTTAGCACTGAGGGATTATACTGAATTTCCTGAGTAATTATCTCTAAGTCATTCCTAAATATTCTATCTTTTCTAAAAACCCTTGTTTAGAGACTCAGTACACTTCAGTATAAGCTTCAGTTCCTGGAAAGCTCACTCAGTAGTTTTATATATCCAGGTCATCTCATGTCCTTTTCTCACACCTTTGTTTTGAATCTATGACAGATCAAAATCAGTGTCATCAGCCTTAACTGTTCTTTTTCATTCTAACTCTCCAGAACTGTCAGAATAATTCTAAACTTCATTAAATGGGAAAAGCAGGATAAATGAAATATTTTACCCAAAGATCCAGAGTCTTCAAGAAATATTATTCTCAGTTTGTCCATTCCAAAACTTTATGGTTTCAATAATTTCTATGTCTCCTTGCACATTCCAAAGAAAGTTGCTTTAAAGAAGTGCCACACTCATAATTCAGAAGAATCATCTTTTTTATATAAAAGGAAAGGCTACAGAATAGAGGTGGAGTCAACCCAAAAGGAGAAGTCATTTAAAGAACTGATTCCTTTCATATTCTTGTTTTTTTTTTCCTATACAGGAAATAAAACTACCAAAGGAAATGGAGAAACACTATCCACATGTTTATAAAAATAAACATATTGATTCATATATCATTGTTAATTGAGTAGTTTTTAATTCTGCACTTTGTTCTGAATTAATATATTGATTATTCAGGAAATTGTAGTTATGTAAACTATGTGAAAAGGTTAAAGTAAAATACGCAGAGATGCAAAAAATAAAAGTTTTATCATTATATTCACTGTTAATAGAGCCCCCCATAATAAAATATAGCCAACGAATATGTTGCATAGGTTGAACACAGGTTGTGGTTGTATTTTTTTGTTTTACAGGTGAATTGCATCAATAGAATTTGCTATAAGTAACTGTGATACCACAATAATGGAACAAAATTAACAGAACATAGTTTTCACTCTAAATAACCAGAACATAGGCCTAAAGACTCAATTTTGCTATTATTGATGAAGCCTGATTCAATTCCAGCCCCTCTATTCTGTGCATCAAGGAAGTATTGACTTCCTAGGGATCCACCCAGGGATATTGCAGGTGCCTTCCAAGGGTTGTGGGGAAAGTCACACCTATCTATATCCTTGTTAATAGGTCCGCAATACGCGGAACCTAAAGCACTCAACCTAATACAGCTTTCAAATCATGGTACTAGAGAAACCCAATCACTGAAGCACTAAACAATCCCTCCTGCCAAAGTTCTGGTAACAGGCTCTCCAACCACGACCCCTTGTGGACCTAACTGCACCCCCAGGAGTCACCTCCAACACATTTAAACTCAGTCCCACAGGTAATTTCGCCAGCCTGGCATCCTAACAGAAGAAAATCTTTACTTGTAAGAGCAGTCTGGACTGGAAGAGAGGTTTGCTCTCTCAAAAGTAAGAACACCAATGCAAGGCTACACAGATATGAAGAATTATACATATGTGATACCATCAAGAAATTAATGAAGCCCTAGGAACTGGCCTTAAGTAAGTGGAGACTTATTAATTGTGTGAGAAAGAACTTAACACAATCATCTTAAGCTTGATGAGAGACAAAAAAGTTCAGAAATACAATTAAGTAAAATAAAAACAAATAGCATCATATCTATATGGTAATTAGTTAATAACAATATGCTGTATACTTGAAAATTGCTGAAACAGTAGATATCAGATATTCTCCCTATAAAATGATAAATATTTGAAATTATGTATATATTGATTTAGTCTTTCCACAGTGTATAAATATATTTTTAAACATCATACTGTATAAATATAATTATGTGTCAATTAACATAAAACAAATAAAAGTATTCCTAGTTATAGGGGAAGAATATAAATAATCAAAGGAATTGTATACACATGCACATACTATCTCAATATAACTATATTCTAAATAGATAAATTCTATGCATGTGCTTGTATATATGCATATATTACAATTAAATAAAAATAATGCTTTACACCTTGTTCCATTTATTACATATTTGGCAGAAGTAGCCAAGAAATAAGGCCTTTTGGGCTCTCTCTCTCTCTCTCTCTCTCTCTCTCTCTCTCTCTCTCTCTCTCTCTCCTGGAAAAACTAACCTGGTGGACTCAGGAAACTTTCTCATGATGCTGAGAATATTTTCTAGTGTGTCCCACCATGCTGGAAGGGGGAGAAGAATACATTGCTTCTGTGTTTTTCCCAGCTGGTATGAGGCCCACAGGTTCACCTCAAATTTATCTCCATTTTTCTTTATTTTCCTCATTTGCAATCACTAACTGCTTTAAAAATCAGCCAGAGGGCCTGTTATTCATCCAGTCATAGAACATGTGATTGTTCAAGTTCGCGTGTTTAGAGTTTAATATGCCTTTTTCGTCCTTCAAGTTCTGCTCAGTTTTCTCCCGCACTTTCCCCCTATGTGGCCTCTTATCTCTGGTTATCATGAGTGAGCTTCTCACTCAGAGTCTTGTTTTAACCAGGTTTACTTTGCCATCTTTGGCAGTCATTTTGGTCCATTATATGAGTTAATGAGACATGAGCTGGTCACATGGTTCCACCACATTCCTCTGCCTTTTTCATTGTCATCAGGAATTCTCACCATTGTAGATAGGAGCTAAGTCTCCGATTTTAGAGAACATACAGAACTTCTTTCTTCTAATAGAAATTCAGGTAATATGGAAACAAGCCTGACAGCCTGAGCAGAACAAAGGAACATCCAGATTGAGTTCATTTTCAAGCAGTGAATATAGAAACACAGCCATTCTTGTTCTTAGAGTATTTTAAAATTTTTTAGAGGTTTTGTCTTCTGTGTGTGTGTGTGTGTATGTGTGTGTGTGTGTGTGTGTGCATGTGTGTGTGTGTGTGTGTGTGTGTGTGTGTGTGTGATTTCTATCTGATCGTTTTAAACAAAGTAGCCTTTTCACAGGCTAAGAGTCTAGGAGAATCCCCATGTGGGGGCTACCCAGTGGCCTCTTAAGTGTGAAGTGGCAGAGGGAGCCTCCCTGAGGGGATATCTCTCAGGAGTCTACTGTTTCTGAAAAGGCTAAAGGAGTTCCTAGACTGGAGACTCCACCCTAATCTCTTAGGATTTTCTTAGGGACTCCCTGGGTGCTCTTCAACCTTTTCTGAGGAATCATGTTTCAGTGCACCATGGGAAACTATGCAGATCTCAGTCACCTTGTTTATGGTTGTATCCTTAAAAATTGAGAACAATTCCAAGGGCAAGAGATGGTTACTGAATGGCAGTCTAAATTATAATGCTATCCTTTGGGTACAACTATTTTATACAAAAGGCTAGGGAAATAGTGTTCAACCCCTTATGTTCAGACTTTTATGGATCTTTATCTCAGTAAAGATTCAAGAAATTGAAAGGTCTGTAAAGATCCAAGTACTTCAAAGGTATCCAAAGGGGAAAAATATGATATCTTTGATGATCCTGTCCTCAAACTCCTGTCTGTCTCTTGAGGGATACAATTGTTTCCTGCCTTTCATCACCAGGGTCTACCACTACAGAGAGGCTAGCCCTCAACACTTCCCAAAGATTCTGGTAGATTTGCAGATGGGGGCCTTAGAACCCCATGTCCGAATTGCTGGTCACAGCCTTTTCTGTGTTCAACAGTCAGTATCTAGATAAGGATGAAATGAGAATGACTGAGAAAAAATTCCTGGTCAAATTTATGACTGCTACAATTGACAATGCTTTATACACACCTTAAGCACCTAAGGGAAAAACTAAGAACAATCAAGGAAAAAGCTTGTTTTAAATGTAAGAAGATTGTTAACAACTGAAGTTCAACGATATATAGACATGATTTACATGTAATGGCCAAATAAAATTTATTGAGGAAATCTTTGTGATAAAAAAAAAATTGACAAAATCTGGTACTCATTCTCAAAAAAAAGCTTTTTGAAAACTAAGAATATAAAGGACACCTCTTAAAGATTGAGAGTTAGTGTGACACTCAATATTGAAAGGTTATTTTTTTCATTCTAAAATCAAAAGCATAACCAGGATATGCACTCACCATTTTTATTCAATATTGTACTGGACACGTTATCCAGTAAAATCAAGCAAGAAAAAGAAAAGAAACGCAAGCATAGCAAAAGGCAGAAGTAAACTGATTTTGATGGCAGATGATGTAATTATTTGTTAAACTATCAAATGGAGTCTGTAAGAAAATACTCGAACTAATCATTGAGCTGAACAGATCTAAATGACAAGGTCAACATACAAAAATAAAACATCAAAATATCAAATTAATTGTTGAACTCTTCTTGTAATAATATCAAAATTAAGTGTGAAATTTAGGGTAAAATTTATGAAAAATCTAAATATTCAATACACACTAAGTTACCCAGTGTTGGAGAGAGAAATTAAAGGTTTAAATTAAGAACATATAGTATGTATTCTTGAATTAGAACACTATTATTAAAAGAATAGTGCCTTTATAATTGATCTACAAAAAACACAATCCAAAATCATTATCTTACCAGGTATTTTTGTATAAAATGTCACATTTATTTTAAGTTTTGTTTACAAATGAAAAGGGTCTAAAATAGACCAAATGAATTTGAAAAAGATTAACAAATTGGGAGATTAGCACTGTTTTACTTTAGGATTTATTACAAAGTAAACATAATGAAAACAGGGTCATATTATCTTAAAACATGGATCTGGAGAATGATGTAGAGTTAACAAATTGATCAATAGATATATAGGCTACTTATTTGTAATCCAGAACATGTTTAATAAATGATATAAAAGTAAATGATATACATATACTGTAAAAAGATAAAACGAATCTCACTCCAAACGGTAGATCCAAACTTACCTCAAAAAATGATCATAGACTTAAATCTAAAACTTCACGCTGCAAGAATTCTAAAAGAAAGAGAGAGAAAAGTCTGTAAAGTTTTAAGATAATGATTTCCCAAATATACCACCAAACACCTGAATCATAAAAGTAGTTTACATATTGGATTTCATCAATGTTTTAAAACATTGTTCTTCAAAGCAACAAAACAATGAAAAAACCAAGGCACTTACTAGGAGAAAGTATTATCAAATCAGATTTCTGATAAATGACTTGCATTCAAAATTGGTAGGAATTTTCAAATCTGAACAATGACAAAACAATCTACTAAATTTGAAAAACTGGTAAAAATTGTACAGACACTTTAATACAGAGGGGCAAAGCTTGTTGGAAAGTAATCACTTGAAAATATGCATAATGTCCTTGTTCATAGGGAAACTAGGTTCACAGTGAGACACTATTACATACATACTCAAATGTAAGCAATTAAAAATTATGAGTACAATCAGTCATGGTGCTACAAGTCTGTAATCCTCACACTCAAGAGGCTGAGGCAAAAGGATTCTCATGAGATCACGGCCAGCCTGGACTTGGTGAGACCTGTCTCAAAAAATCAAAACAAAACAGAAAGAATG